TTTGTTTCTTGCAAAAAGAATTCAAAACAAAACCATGTATATATATATATATATATATATATATATATATATATATAAATATTTTAGTATTTTCACAAAAACATAAGTGATATGGTGGTTAAGGTGTTGAAGGAGTAAAATGGTTTTCACAAATACCATGTATATAAATATTTTTGGGTTTCGTATCGGGATATTATCGATAATATCTCGATATATTGCCCAAATCATTCATAAAAATGTTGAAAATATCTTCCCGATATTATCCCGATAATATCGATATATTGACGATAACACTATGGTTAGTTGTTAAAATATCGGACCCCCAAAAATCAGATATTATCGGGGATATTATTGATATTTAATACCTTGGTAATACCAATAAAAAGGTTCCCGCCAAAAAATATTTGGTTGACAATGTATAAATTAATTTTTTGTCTAATACAATCTAAGTTTAATCCTAATGACTGTGGTTGGGTTCACTAACTAGATGTCACTTCCATTGAGTTTCTTTCAACCACTGACAGTGGTGTAATGAGATTGACATGCTTGAAAAGCAAAACCTGACACCTCTTTTTAAAAATTGAAATGAAGTACATATGTTGACTACACGCAAGCTTTGGTATGTTGGTCTATAAAGCTATGTCCCCTTCCTCAAACGAAATTGCATATGCAATTCCCATCCTCTAAAAACAAATAGGATTATTCAAGCATGTCATCCTCTTCAGGCGCCAACAACACAGTCGAATATGAAAAATTGGAGTCGCAGGTTCCATTTCCATGTTGTACTCGCCGACCCCTTCCATTTTCAACATCATTTGGGAGTGAGGGGGACTCCGATGATCCATTAGAGGCAATACATGCAGTCAGTAGCAAACTAGATTATAATTCCAGACTGATCAATTCGTGGCACGAGAAATGTGTTGAAGACGAGGCCATTCTGGCTGATCTTAACATTAGAGTTAACAAAGCGTTCTCCCAAAAGAACAAGTACTTGAAGTTGAGTCATACAAGGAAGTTGAAAGCAGAGGAGTTGGATACAGTAATGAATGATGAAATTAAAGGTTGTTTGATGAACCATATGCGATGCGAAGAGCACCATAGTGAACTGGAGATGGCATTCAACGAAGGATTCGAAAATTTCCGAGCATTCTATGTATCCCCTCTGTGAGAGAGATACTAGACGATGGTGGTGACATGAGTGAGCATAAGCACGTCAAAGCTGCTCGGAAGAAGCCGACCAATACGACTGACTAATTGCGGCTACGGCTGTTCAGTTGGTTGGGGTGATCGTGGTATTGCTAACAGTGAGCAAATAATATGCTTTGCAATGTAAAACTATCTTATGGGACCCTTCTGTCAGTAGTCAGTAATTCGTCAATTTTGTATGAATGAATGAGATGTTTGGGATCCAAATTAAGCTATACAAATAATGGGTTATTCATTGACTTTTTTCTGATGTTATACAATGCTTGGAATGTAATTTTTTCTTTTAATTTTTCAAAACATCCCTTCACCCTAATAAAGAAAAAAAAAATAACAAATTGAAGAAGAGAGAAACTGATTAACACCATAAATGGTCTATTCGCACTCAAAATAATAATAAAAATAATAATTTCGAGTAAATATAATTAACAAATGTAGAGGCTAAAAAGTAATATAATAATAATGTAGGGTAAATAATAATAAAATACTAATGTAGCGTAACCATGAAACAAGGAATTCAGTAAGGAAGATGAAGTGTCAATGAGTTCGTAGCTATTTTCGGAACATTTTTATCATTTTTGTGTATTTAGTTATGAATTTCATAAGAAAAACAATAAAATAAGAATTTAGGGTAAAAAGCAAGGATGTGGCCATGTTTATTGACGTACACTTGTGCAAGTGGTGAAAGGTGATGCGCTCAGATCGCGCCAGGTGTCATATTGCGATTATTTTGGCTTTTTTTAGTGCAAAAATCTTGAAAAAAAATTCAATAAATAGTAGGAAAATTGAAAAAATGCCCCGAAAATTACTCCAGCCTCCTTGTGACGTTATAAAACTAGGAGAAGCTACAAATCATCAGTTTCATAATTAAAATTTTGAATGGCTTTAGATAACTCACTTTCCTCTTAACCATAGCTATATATGTTGTTAACTTTAACCTAGATAACCTACATCAACAAGGATCTCCCGTGAATGCTCGAAATTGTCTTTTAAAATGAATAACCATGAAACGGGGAATTCAGTAAGGAAGATGAAGTGTCAATGAGTTCGTAGCAATTTTCGGAACATTTTTATCATATTTGTGTATTTAGTTATGAATTTCATAAGAAAAAACAATAAAATAAGAATTTATGGTAAAAAGCAAGGATGTGGCCATATTTATTGACGTACACTTGTGCAAGTGGTGAAAGGTGATGCGCTCAGATTGCGCCAGGTGTCATCTTGCGATTATTTTGGCTTTTTTTAGTGCAAAAATCTTGAAAAAAGTTCAATAAATAGTAGGAAAATTGAAAAAATGCCCCGAAAATTACTCCGTCCTCCTTGTGACGTTATACAACTGGGGGAAGCTACAAATCATCAATTTCATAATGAAAAAATTTGAATGCCTTTAGATAACTCACTTTCCTCTTAACCCTAGCTATATATTTTGCAACAACCAACATCACAAGTATATTTCCCTAATATTAATTATCTGGGTTTTAATAATACAAGAATTAGTTTCCTTTCATATAAAAGGCTGTAAAAGTATCTGTTTTGTTATAATAATCCACATATATAATAATTGGACAATGCTCTGAAGCCATCATGGGTGCATGCATCTAGATCTTTGAACACGTCAACGATATTCAATAAGTTGTCAATATGGCTGCGTCTTGGGTTCGTAGTAAATATCTCTATCATGTCAAATCACATCGTTCGATGGCCTACTTGTTCTGAAATACCTGACACCAGTCAAGCAATTTTGAAATAGTACTGAATATTTGTCCTAGTCTATATGAGTGATTAGAACTTCACTCAACATTTTATATTTCACAGTATATGTTGCTTTTAGGGATTCCCTAAACATATAATATAAAGAAAGATAGAAAAAGTAGGACATGAAACAGTACAAACAACAACATATAACTGGGACAAATTAGAAGTGTATTTCCTTAATGTTCATTATCTAATTTATAATAACACAAGTACTACTTTCATTTGCTTCATATATAATTATTGGGACTATGTATTGCAATTCCTTGTGTCTAACATTATATTTTGCAAAAACTGAAATATTATTCAATAAGTCGTCAATATCACCACGAGTTGGGAATCAGTAAAGTCGCATTATCATGTCCCTTCACATTAAACAAATGGCGTACTTTTTCTCAAAAAATTGACACATCAGTCATAAGTAACACTCTCCTTATTCACTTTACATGCCAATGTGCTATACATTCTTTGGTGAATGGTTTATGGGTTATTTATATAACAAAATATTACAAATATTGCTGAATATTTATTTCGTCTATATGAGTGGGGACACGAGTGACCATAAGCACGTGCAAGCTCCTCGGAAAAAGCTGACCCATACGACCGAGTGAATATGGCTACCATTGTTCAGTTGGTTGGGGCGATCGTGATATTGCTAAGAGGGAGCACATAAAATGCTTTGCAATGTAATTTTCTTGTGTGTGCGAAATTACGAGTAGTTGAAATGTTGGTGTACACTTTAATATTCTCCAAGCGTTCGAAATGTGATTAGCTGCAATGTACTTATCATGCATAGAAGATGTTGTATTGTAGTTTGTATTTTATACGCTGATTTCTAATCATTGTGTTCCAACATAGTGCAAATTTCAAGTATCCTTCAGGTACGAATGTTTACAAAATCGTGCACCAATATTGCTTCATAGTCAAGGTCAGATCTTAATAACCAGTCAAGCACTAGAACATAACATTAGGAAAAATTGGTTGCTGCTGTAAATGATTAGTGTTGCTAGAAATGATTCGTGCTGGAAATCATTACTGCTGATGGAAACAACAGCTCCCTGCTGGAAATGCTTGCCTGCTGGAAATGCTACATTAGCCTGTGATATAATCAATGAATCTGTGTCACTAGTTCATAATTCAGCATAAACTACCCATTGTACATGGTAAAAGTCATTGCTTCTTCACAAAACTCAAAATTTGATACTTTATCAAATGTCTATGAAAATTTCCAAATAGGAAGAAGACATGTACAATTAACATGTGTCCAAATTTCATGCAAGAAGTAAACCAACCAAATTTCCATTTCAATTAGCAGTGGACAAAGTAAAAGCTTATCAGTGGACATGAACAAACAAATAAAATAAAACTGCATATAGAAAACTTAACCTGATCATTACCCTTCATAACAACCGGGCTATGTATAATACAAACATAAATCATTCGGTAGGTCCGTGCATCCTGTAAAATTCGTCGAATAATGGGACATTGAGATCTATTGGAGTTGATTCCTCATTGTTCGACGGTGATGTCCTGCATAAACACCAAACACAAGCACATAAAAAATTTAACTATTCAAATTTTAGGTGTTATTATAAATAGTTTTAACATCTTACGGTGTGTTCAAATTTCTTGGGCATTGTCTTCTATCATGACCAATGTCTCCACACTCCCGACAGTGTCGAATCCCTCGCTTCATTGGCTTTTCCTTTGCTCCCGTTACTTGTTTCCACCTTCCTTTGCACCTTACTCTCTTAGGGTCTTTCATATATTGTGTTTGAGAGCTAGACCCTCCAACTTCGTTATTACTTGGTCCATCCTTCAACAACTTCAACTTCACCCGCAAACTTTTTAGAGTCTCTGACACTAGCTCACATCCTTCTTCACACATTAATGCATCCTCAACCACATCTGAAGCAAGTCGGGACATTGTACTCCGCTTTATTAAAAGACCAGGATCTGCAGAGTCTTTAATTTCGTTGCCATTGGCATTTGACACCAATCCAGCCTTCGCAGTTTTCTTCCACCTTTTCAAAACATATTTATCGGGCATATATTCAATCTGGTCCCTTCTGAACAATGCTAGGATGTGCTTGCAAATAATCCCAACAAATTCAAATTTTTTGCAGCTACACGATGCGTGGTCAGAATCTTTGACATATACAACTTCTGCCACTCTTGTTTGCCAATTTTTCCTTTCGCTCACATTAAAGACAACTTTTGAAGCATCCTCTGTTTTGAGCTCTAGGAAACATGCTGTACTTTGTATTAGTTCTTTCTCAAACTTTTGAAACATTGCCCTTGTGTACAAGGTAGCCATTTGTTTGTTCATTGGCATTGGTAGAATACATTGAGCCACTTCAAATGCATCTACGTGATCAGCAGCTAACTCTTTTTGACGTTGATGAGAAAGTGCCCTCTCAAATCGTATTATGAAATCCATCAACGAATTTCTCCTTGATATGTATTGCTTGAAGAAAGCATGAGAACCTTCCGCTCTTTGGCAGCTTGACATTCCAGTGGCAAACAAGTCTCGTGCGTAGGCTGGAACCCAAGACTCCCTTAAATCAAACATTGAACTTAGCCATTGATGGTCAGTCAAACCAGCCTTTGTAACCACAATATTCCACTTTGCATCAAACTCATCCTTATTGTCAGTATCCCATATGGATTTTTGAAATTCACGCCAATACTCCTTATAAGCAAAATGTGGTAACTTAACTTGGAACTTTGATGTGATGTGCCATATGCAAAGTCGATGAAATGTAGTCGGGAAGGCTATTGAAATCGCTCTGGTCATGGTCGCATCTTGATCTGTAATGATCGTTTTAGCTTCGCCACCTGGCATGGCTTTCTTAAACTCCTCAAACATCCAAATAAACGACTCAGTCGTTTCCTTGCTCAAAAATGTGCATGCTAAGACAATTGTCTGACCATGGTTATTAACTCCCAATATTGGTGCAAATGTTAAGTCGTATCGATTCGTGTTGAATGTGGTATCGAATACAACAACATCTCCATACAACCGGTACACCCGTCTAGAAGTTGCATCTACCCAAAAACATCGACTAAACCTGTCTTCGCCATCTCCCTCAATCTTGAAATAAAAACCCTCATTTTTTTTTTTCTGTTCAGCCATAAAATAGTCGGTCACTAGTTCAACATCGTGGTTCCTCAGCTTCCCATTCACACTACATTCAAGATTGTAAATATCCTTTTTGATAAAACCGATTTTATCCATTCCTCCGGATTGCACCTCGAAAATACTTACCTTCTGATGAATGGGGATATTAACCGAACCCAACTATTTTGTAAGTACTTTTGTAGAATCCGAAATACGACGGTGTGATCACAATAAATGCACTCTTTCTGAGGCTGTCATCTTATGATTGTGTCCCTCTGCAAAAAGAGAGATGGCATACTTCTTGCTCCCATTTGTCTTCACAACCACAATCTTAGCTTTGCAATTGCATCTACTTATTCCCCGCTGTCTTTTTCTCTCCCGAGTTTCATCTTTCCTGTATGCACCTTGTTTGCAACAAACAAATTCTTTCCTCAGAATCTCTTTCTTATTTTTCCCCCAAAAGCTAGAATGAAGTCGAATACCAAAGTCAGCCAAGAATGCATATCTACTATAGAAATTATAAACGAGGTCAAGCGAGTCGAACTTCATCCCAACCGCTGGTGTTTCCTCATTTCTTACTTCAGGAATGTAAACCATCCCATTAGCTGTTACACAATCATCACTCTCTGAGCCCCCAGACATTTTACCCACATATATTTTTGAACTACTTCTATATCACTGCATAGCAAATATTAATTCATTAATCAATCATTACTGCATTACAACATATCAATGCATTCCACTTACACAAAACATTGCCCAAATTGACACAAAAAAGACGCATAGCCTAGCTTGTTTGTAAGAGCCATTATTACACAAAATTTAATAATAGTTACGTCATCTTCATTTTACCCACATATATTTTGAACTACTTCTATATCACTGCATAGCAAATATTAATTCATTAATCAATCATTACTGCATTACAACATATCAATGCATTCCACTTACACAAAACATTGCCCAAATTGACACAAAAAAGACGCATAGCCTAGCTTGTTTGTAAGAGCCATTATTACACAAAATTTAATAATAGTTACGTCATCTCTTGTGCAATAATCTGGAAAAAAAATAACATTAGAACCAACATGTTCAACTAAGAACACAAATGTAATTCAAACCAGCCATTACAGAACTTCTCCCAATATCCTCTCCAAATGCTTACTCCTAATGCCATTAAGCCTAAGTTTAGGATCTTTTACCTACATTTCATCATTTCCCACCCCCACCAAAAAAATCAACTAAATATATTGAATATTTATAAGTAAATGACGCATTATTGACGGCAAAACTGACGCATTATTGACGGCAGAATAACACATTATTGACGGCAGAAATGACGCATTATTGATGCCACAAATGACGAATTTCTCACCCTCACAAAAAACAAACCAAACTCAACAAATCAATCCAGCAACAGTAAACTTACCTCTCAAACTCAAGCGGGAGCTCCGAAGTCAATCAGCTTAAGAGAATGTGGTGGACATTAGAGAAGACTCTTTGGTAGTGGAGACTCTATCTCTACCACAATCGAGGAACAAATGCTACTGCAGCGTCTAGCTACAAAACGAGATATGCTACTTTGCTTTCATCTGGAATCTCGTGTGCTGAACGAAAAAGAGAAGGGATTTTCACTTGAGCCATAGAATCAAAACAGGGCAAAAGCTAGATAAGAGCCATTAATCGTCATACCGAGGATGCCATAGATCGCAGGCCTCCCAAGGAGCTGATGACAATGGAGCGACTATAGGGTTTGGGAGCTTTGGATCTTTCTAATTCTGGGTTTGCGTTACATTCAAAAACAGAGGATTGTGTTCTTGAATTTTTCAGAGAGGGAAATATCTTCAACTGAAGTTGGGTTTCCAACGGGTCAGATTTCAACCCGGTTCTACATGCACCCTCTTTTAAAAACTCACCGTTGGATGAAATCCAACGGCTCTTACATACCCCTCAAAAAAACCCCTTATAACTTTCCCCTCACTATAGAAGCTCCCATATAAGTAACGATTACTTTTGTGTGGGAAAGGTGCCCAATACCTCTTGGTAGTAACTGTGACCTTGGTTTTCAGAGCTCTTGGGAAAGGCCCAATATCTTTATACAAAAGAGGCATCACACACAATGATTCTAACCCTAGCCGCTAGACACTCTCCACATCTCTCTCCGTCTCTCTATCTTCATCTCTCTCTCTCACCCACTCTTCAAATCTATCGTTGTAGATCCAAGTCCAATAGACAATCCTAGTGTGCGAATTAGGGTATAAAAGAAGATCCAAGTCCAATAGGTGTGTATGCCTCTGAATCCCTTGCCTCTCCTCTCAATTTTGGCTTCATCGCCTGGTTTTTGTTATCTTGTCTGTAATTATTTTCCCTCTGTAGCATCAAAATCATGTTTTAGTGCAGGTGGTAGATTTGTATCCGAGAAGAGGGCTAGTTTGAGTCCAAATACAATTGAAACATTAATTTTCTTGAAAGATTTGGCCTTAGCAAATTACCAAAACAATTATTTTTCTTAATTGGCTGAGATTTCAGTTCACAGGATTGACAGAGGAGGAGGGAGATGAAAACGAAAAACGAAGAGGACTGTCTCCTCCAACTGGAACTCAGTAAGGAAAGTGATAAACAACGATGAAGAAGTTGAGTGAGCAGTGTGTTTCTAGTAAATTTGTCTGCAAATTTGTTTTGTGCAACCATGGATACCATAACCAAACAAAGGTTGGTGCTTTCACTTTCAGTTCTTTTGTTATGCCTGTATGTCAAAATCAAGGTCTAAAATATTGATGGTATCGGAAATATCAGAAGTCCAAAAACACGGAAATGTCAATGGAAATATCGGGATATTATCGGTATCGGTAAAAATTGAATAAAAACCACGGAAATTGTAAGAAAAACTTGGAAATTTTTATTGAAACTTTGCAGGATGTTTATTTAGTCAAATATCTATTAGTTTATCACAAAAAATTGGAAGGAAATGCATTGCATGATGGATTTAACTGATTTAAGTTGATTATATAGCGAGCTGTCAAACACTGTAAGTGTAGAAAATATGTAGTAATTAATGAAAGAAGATTAAACACATCATAATCATTTATATATAATGAATTACTACAATATTTTACACTTTATACATTGCATGGTAAGATACATGAGTGACTTAGTACCACATAGAGTTCCTATGAGGTTCAAAATTTTCACTATCTTCATCATCTCTATGTGTAGAGTAAGTATATTGTGAGGAGTAGTCATCAAATGATAAATCCCCAAAATAGTTTTGCATGTAATTGTTAACATGCCACCCATATGGATTCGAGATTGATTGACGTTGTCCATAAGCAAAATCATTTGAAGATTGAGTCTCAGATTCTTTCCATGAGTCGCTTGATTCCATCCCAACAAGAATGGGATATGAAGGGTAGGGAAATTGTTGGTTATGAGTATAACCATAGTTACTACTCATCTCATGTGAAAATTTGTTTCTTGCAAAAAGAATTCAAAACAAAACCATGTATATATATAAATATTTTAGCATATTTTCACAAAAACATAAGTGATATGGTGGTTAAGGTGTTGAAGGAGTTGGTTTTCACAAAAACCATGTATATAAATATTTTTGGGTTTCGTATCGGGATATTATAGATAATATCGCGATATATTGCCCAAATCATTCATAAAAATGTTGATATTATCGTCCCCGATATTATCGGGATAATATCGATAAAAATATCGATATATTGACGATAACACCATGGTTTGTTGCGAAAATATCGGCCACCCAAAAATCCGATATTATCAGGATAATATCGACATTTAATTCCTTGGTCAAAACCCATGTTTCCCTTTCATTTTATTGATGGACCCATTGAAATAGAACCAAATGGTTGAATATTCGTAAATTGGATTTACCTTTCCACCCCCTCAAGTAGAGTTTTTGAGACCGTCCTCCAAGTAGAGCTTGAGAGACAATAATGAAGAAATTGGGGGAGCCACACACGTGTTTGTTTACACAGAAAGTAACAGAGAAAATATGGAAAGATTGACTAGAGACTTTAGAGTAAAATACCAGGTAACTAAGCTAGTCTCTCTCAAACATTTTAATACGTGAAGTATTTCAATTGAGTATCCCCTAGATGGAAGAAGATTTTCTTTGAAAAGTAACATGTATGACAAAAATATAAATTATTTTGCTTGCAGAGACACTCATCACAAATTCACAAAAAATAAAAATTATAAGAAATTCAAAGTAATTGGCATTCACGAAAGTATAGTGACAAATTTATAACAAGTTTGAAAGCAATGCTATGGATAAAATATGCAGCACGCATGACTTGACCCTTCAATGGTTGATTTGGATTAAGTAGCAAGATATTATCTTTCTTGTGTGCAAATTCTTAGTGGAGCCATGGATACCAAAACCAACCCAATGTTGGTGTTTATAGTTGTTTTATTGTGCCTATTTCTCGAGTCCCGTATCTCCTTTGCAGCTGACACCATCACTGCAAACCAATCTCTCTCCGGTGACCAGACAATCGTCTCCGGGTTTTTTGAACTGGGGTTCTTCGAATTAGATGGCCGCCACTACATAGGTACCTGGTGTTCCTACCGAGTGGCATCTGCGAGTACCATAGTTTGGGTAATTAATGTGTTAATTATGTAGTAAATTAATGTGTTAATTATGTAGTCAATTAATGTTTGGCACCTACAATATTTGGGGGGCTTGACTAGTTTGGTTGCCTAATTAGTTTGGTTGCCTAACTTGGGGGGCTTGACTAATGTCTTAGGAACTTGTATATATATGTGTTGATTTTAAGTAATGAAACATAAGTGAAAAATCAGAAAATATTCTACAACTCTCATTCTCTCTACACTTTCCACTCTCTACTCTCAATATTCTCTATGTTTTAGCATTTTCATCAGTGTTGAATATCTCAGATGGCAATTTAGTTCTCTTTAATGAGGCCAAAACTCCAGTTTGGTCCACACATTTGACCTCCACCACCACCTCTGCTTCTGTGCAAGCAGTTCTTTTAGATAGTGGAAATCTTGTCTTAAGAGCTCATTCTAGTTCATCTGAGCTTTTATGGCAAAGCTTTGATCATCCAACCCATACATGGCTATCAGGAGCCAAGTTTGGATTCAACAATATTACCAATCAAACCCAAATTCTCACTTCATGGAAGAACTCACGGGATCCTGCACCAGGTCTTTACTCTTATAAGCTAGACCGAAGCAATTCATATATCTTACTGTGGAATAGGTCTAAACAGTATTGGACCAGTGGATCTTGGAATGCAAGTTCAAATTTTTTCAGCTTGGTTCCTTATATGAGGCGTAATTACGTCTTCAACTACAGCTTTGTTTCAAATGAAAACGGAAGTTATTTCACCTATTCGCTTTATGATCCTAAGAAAGTATCTCCATTCATGATCTCAGCATCGGGGCAGATTCAGCAACTAAATTGGGTTTCGCCTTCCAGGCCACCGACAGTGTTTGGGTGGGAACCAAGACAGCAATGTGCAGTTTATGCTATTTGCGGGGCATTCGGGAGCTGCAATGAAAAATCCGGGGTCTTGTGTAATTGTTTGATGGGTTTTGAGCAGAAGTCGCCACGGGATTGGGCTTTGCAGGATTACTCTGGTGGGTGTCAAAGAAAAACCAATTTGCAGTGTGGGAATTCAACTAGTGTTATTGGGACGAAAGACCAGTTTCTAGAAATGCATAGCATGTCAATGCCTGAAAATGAACTGCATGTTAAGGTTGGGAGTGCTAAGAAATGTGAATCAATCTGCTTAAATAACTGCGCTTGCACTGCTTATGCTTATGAAAGCAGTACCGCATGTTCAATTTGGATTGGAGATCTCCTGGGTGTGCAAGAACTTGCGGCAGATGACGCTGGTGGAAGAACTTTATACATCAGACTTGCAGCTTCTGAGCTTATGTATCTTAAAAGTAATAAGGGAATGATTGTTGGTGTTGTTATGAAAGATCATTTCTTGGATAGCCATCCTTTTAATTGGTCAACCTGAATTATTATTATTTTGGCAGATGGCAAGGGTGATGCGGATAAGCGCTTCCTTATAATTGCAATGGTCTCAGCAGCAGCACAGTTGCTTACGATAATTTTTTGCTATTTCCTATGGAAGAAAAGATTGGGGAAGCGAAGGTATTGCCACCACCCTGTCTCTCTTTCTCACACACACACGCACTCGTGCATTCACACGGATTCTCTAAACAAATGATCCATGCTCTGAAACAGGACGCAGAGGAGGAAGTATGGTGTGACTAAAGTAAATTATGGTGCTGGAGGTGGAAAGAATGACACAGAACTACCACTCTTCGGTTTAAAGAGTATATTAAATGCAACAAACAACTTCTCTGAAGCTAATAAACTGGGAGAGGGAGGATTTGGCCCTGTTTATAAGGTGACTCTTCCACTTTGTATTGGTAATTAAAGTACATTAGTTGTTCTTACATAAATATTTATACTTTTTGGTTCTCTGAATAACCTTTTCCCTAATTAAGTTTGATTGGTGGGATTGTGGTTCACTTTGTGTTTTATTTTCCTTCCACTGCAGGGGATTTTGCCTGAAAATCAAGAAGTAGCCATAAAAAGACTGTCAAAGAAATCAGGGCAAGGACATGAGGAGTTCATAAATGAGTTAAATCTTATAGCCAAGCTCCAGCATACCAATCTTGTTAGGCTCTTAGGTTGCTGTATTGAGGAGGAGGAACTGATCTTGATCTATGAGTTCATGCCCAATCGAAGTTTGGACAAACTTTTGTTTGGTATATCCTCATTCCTCCTAAGATTGATTCTTTGATATTGTTGATTTCTGGGACCTCAAATTTGATTACCTTTTAGCAAGATCCTTTTGAATGCGCAAAAGTTGTGTAATGCAAGATCTTTTTCCATTTGTCCAGCATTTCATCTAAAATAAAAAGAAAAACACTTAGCTCAATTTTCTTCATGGTTTGTCCTATCAGATCCATCTGAAAATACAGAATTAGATTGGGGAAAACGCTTTCGAATTATAGAGGGTATTGCTCAGGGAGTACTTTATATCCACAAGTACGCTAGATTAAAAATCATTCACAGGGACCTGAAAGCAAGTAATGTTCTGTTGGATGGAGCAATGAACCCCAAAATTTCAGACTTCGGAATGGCTAAAATTTTGGAGATAAACCAGAGTGAAGCAAATACCAACAGGGTTGTTGGCACATTGTAAGTATATATATGTGGTACATGTTTTCATTCATTTACTAAACCTTATGCAGTCACTGCTATAGCTTACATCTCTACCATCAATTCATGCAGCGGATACATGTCACCAGAGTATGCAAGATATGGCCATTTCTCTGAGAAACTAGATGTGTTTAGTTTTGGAGTGTTGTTGTTGGAGATTGTAAGTGGAAAGAGGAATGCTGCTTTTTATCGCTTTGAACATTCACCAACACTTGCTGGATGGGTAAGTATTAATAATTCTGAACTATATACGCTCCTTTCTGTTTTTATGCCTTGTAAATTTGCGATTAACTGTAAAATACAAGTTTAAGTATGTTAAATCTTAATTAGGCATGGGAATTGTGGAAAGAAGGTAGAGGAATGGAGGTGATTGATGCATCAGTAAGGGAAACGTGCCCCCCTGATGAAGCTTTGAAGTGTATCCATGTAGGGTTTTTGTGTGTTCAAGAAGCTCCAGCTGATCGACCAACAATGGCTTCTGTAATTCGTATGTTGAGCAATGAAGCCACATCACTTCCACCCTCCAAGGAACCTGCCTTTTCAACTAACAGGAATTCCGTACCTGTTGTTGGTTCTTCTCAATTACCTGCCGTTTTTTCCAACAATGGAGTCACCATCAGTTTGCCAGCAGGTCGATAGAGGTTCCAATATTTGTTTCCGTCCCTCAACACATTTAATGTTAGGTATATAAGCTAAAAAGCAAAACGTTGTGACAATTGCAAGAACTCAGCAATACTATTTTTGTTTATATATATATAGTCCCCTTCCATTGAGGGACACCCTTCAGAGTACTCTACATTTTTTTTTTCAACGATCCAAATAATTTATTTTTCAAGTCTTCATTCATAGATCATCCTTGCAAAAAAATCAGACAAATTGAAAATCATTAAGGTATCTAATTGAGACCAACAAAATCAATGAATACGATGCTTCAAGAAAGTGTTAAATTTCAATATATAATTTAATTGAATGATAAAATGATATCGGATTCAAGTGATTTTTTGGATAGATTTCAATTTGTTTCAAATTTCCTTCATAATATTGGATAGATTTCTTGATCAACCCCTAAAAATATGGAGATGTAAGAGGAGGATGAGGAGGGAGGAGGAAGGAGGGAGGAGGAGGAAAGGAGAAGGGATTAATTGACCAAGAAGGCAAAGGGAAACCAAGAAAATAGGGCAGTCCCGCTCACCTAATCACCTAATAAAGATCATTGGATTAATCTAATGGCACATATAATTACTAGTTTAAACCCTCACTCATGGCCCTTGTTTTACTCAAACAACTATTTTAATTATTCTACCTAGCAAAAAAATTAAAACAAAAAAAAAAAATTAGGGTTACAAAACAATTCACAACTAAAAGCCTTACAAAACCAGCTTATAAACTGGGTTAGCAACTGTAACTAATATTCGCGCCTAAACCGCGGACTTAACTACTAATCTAACAACCCCACAACTGAATAACAATTGAAAGGTGAGAAGGCTGCCACGTGGACCACTCTTCTCTTGCCAAATGAGCCAATGACATGAATACAACTAAACAAGCACCTAACGGTCTTCATCCCCTCATCTTCTCCACTCTCACCTTCTCCATAGTATATGAAGTAAAGGATGAGGAGAAAAAAATTAAGTGAAAGAAATTTAAGTATATTTGTAATTCGATCTTACGTATGGGTTGAGTTTAATCGATGTTGTTTGAAAACGAAAACTGGATTAGAATGTGACTCGTGAGATTAAACTAACATAATTGTAAATCTAACAGTAATGTCCCAATGAGATTAAACTTTCCTTGATTTATAAAGGCGAATGATTTTAACACTCATCCTTGATTTCACGTACTATGGAGAAGATGAGGGGATGAAGATGACTGAGGGGGAAGAATGAGGAAGAGGAAGAGAGAAAGGGGATGCGGGGTAGATGGTGGCTGGGATGAAGACAACGTGTAACCCTACTTTCTTTGTTTTTAGTTTTATTTGCATTTGCTGGTTAAAAGAATTGTTTGGGTGAAACAAGGAGCATGAGTGAGGGTTTAAACTAGTAATTATATGTGCTGTTGGATTAATCCAATGGTCTTTACTAAAAGGGACCTTACATGACCTCATTTTTAAGTCCTTAGGTGAGCGACACTGGAAAAAAGGGAGACGTGAAAAACATTATTGAGGAGAGAGAAATAAGGAGGAAAAACTAATATAATTATTTAAAACTAATCCACTAATTTGGTTATTCTAAACCATTAATCTAAGGGTTAAAAACTTGTGTCATAATTTGTGTAAAAAAATTGGTGCCATTGATCTTGCACCATATTATATATGTTTTTCAACGATCCAAACCATCTATTTTTCACATCTTCATTCTGAGATCATCCTCGAAAAAATCATGCAAATTGCGAATCATTAAGGCATCTATAATTGAGACCGACAAAATCATTAAGGCATCCACTGAAATACAATGCGGAGTGGGCCCTACAAGGGTGTCCCTCAAATAAGTTTGTTTGAGGGACACCCTTGTAGGGCCCGCTCCGCATTGTATTTCCCAATGTGGAATCTAAGTACTGTTCTCTTGCTCATGCCTGCGCCGAATCTTCTTGGCTATGTTCTCTGTTACATGAATTGGGCGTTCGTCTGCCTTTTCTGGTTCTCATGCATTGTGACAATCTCAGCACAATTATATGGCGGCAAACCTGGTATTCCATGCTCGTACTTGTCATATTGAACTTAACTACCACTTTGTTCGCGAGAAGGTGGCCCTTGGGAGTCATCAAGTCTGCTTCATCCCCTCTGTTGATCAACCTGCGAATCTTTCACTAAACCACTTCACAAGCCACGACACCATCTCTTATGTTCCAAACTTGTTCATCCAAGGCGGCTCAGTTTGCGGGGGGGTGTAACTCATCAAGGAAGAAGAATCTGAAACGGATTCTTCTTAATCACAATAGTTGACTTGCTCTCCAAATATTTTGTATTTACTGCCATTCAAGGCTTTTACCGTTTATATCGTTATTGTGCAATTATAAATATTGTAATATTTACACAGAGGAATACAACTTGAATTCAAACTCTTACAGATAGTCTAAACTACAAGGAGGAGGGGGGTTTCTCACACACATGCACACATTGGCGAGTTGTAGTTTAAGTGGATTTTAAAAAAAATCTTTTGGGAATGGAATAGTCCCATCATATTACTATACTTATCATTTTTAAGAGTATATTTATTAGAAATCACAAATATTAACTCATGAATAAAACTTGAAAAAGAAAAAAAATGCAATAAACTCACTCCTCCGAAATTGGGGATCCGTATCATTTTCTTCAAATCCCATCAACTCAAAATCTAGTTCTTGACTTACGTGGTGGGTTTCTTAAATTGAACTTTATCTTTGCTATAGTGAGCAAATTTTTTTTTGTTTTTTGTCTTATTTTTATTTTTTGTGCAGCCATGGACCTCACTGCAAACCATTCTCTCTATTTGGTGATCAGACCATTGCCTTTGCCTCTGCAGGTGGGGTTTTCGAACTCGTTTTCTTCAAACTAAAAACGAAACTTTTTTAACATATTCTCCTAAATTTATATTTCACTTCCATTTACATTGCATGCAAAACTGGATGTTCAGTTTAAGGCCCAAATGGATACACCTCAAATCTGCTTCAATAATGCATGTATCTTTGAGGTTCTCAATTTTTTGATGTCCAGATCCCAGCCCTATTTTCTGGGTCAAGAGACGGCTTGTTTGTTGTCGAAACTCATAGAGGTTTGGTGTTCTTTTGGTTCCCCTTGGCCCAAAGCTATAACCCCACAATCAAAATGTATGGGCATGTGTTAAGTTGTCACATCCTAAGAAAAAGAAGAAGAAGAAAGAAATGTGGTCCAATATTGCATGGTTGGCAACTTGATCCTAGGTCCTCCCATTTAAGAAAAATATCGCTTCTTCTCTTTTAATTTTTGCTTGTGTCCTGAATTTTAATTTAACTCACTTTTTCAAGAATATTATTATTGGCAAAATAAAATGCATTTTCAAGCGTATTTTTATTAGCTCAATTATAAATATTAATAAATTATTAAAACTTGTAAAAGAAACAAAACAAAAACTATTCTCTCATCTCATCAGCCTCTCATACAAAGTTGGATCCTCTCACATTTTCTCATTTCTGCAAATCCCTTCAACTGATGAAACCCATTTAAATAGACCAAAACAATGATTTTTCTTAATTGGCTGAGATTTCAGTTCACAAGATTGACAGAGGAGGAGGGAGATGAAAACGAAAAACGAAGAGGACCGTCTCCTCCAACCGGAACTCAGTAAGGAAAGTGATAAACAACAATGAAGAAGTTGAGTGAGCAGTGTGCTTCTAGTAAATTTGTTTGCAAATTTGTTTTGTGCAACCAAGGATACCTGTTGTAAAATTGGCTCACATTAAGGTTGCAAGTGAGGGAGGAGGCGACCGATCGCAAGGTTTGGGTGACCGGTTGTTTTGAAGTTGATTCGAAGTTTGGAAAAATCGCAGCAAGCGACCGGTCGCCGGGTAGTTGCGATCGATCGCTTTCAAACAGATTGCAAAGCGACCGGTCGCCAGACGTGTTGTTTCATTTTTCAACTCGTTTTTCAAGGTGTCTTCACATGTGTTGGTTCTCTAACTAATCCCTCGGGCCTCTAAGGTGTTTTATGGGTTCTAGGAAGTCTAGCAAGGTGCTGGAAAAGCTGGAACACCATTGAATGATGTTGGTTGACTTGCTTCAAGGAGTACCTACCCTATGGCTCTAGATAGGGTGGCTGAAGGTGCAGCCACTAATGACTAGCCTTTGTTCTGCCCAAGCTCTGGTCCAAGTCTGGAAACCAAGGGGAGAATGTGGGAGAAAAGGATGGAGCCTTCTCCTAAGTCCAAAGGCTTGTGTATTAAAGGGAAGAGGAAGCAAGACAGCATAAGTGTGGTTAATCTCAAAAGGGTGGTCAAGTAGCTGGGAGCTAGTGTGTCCACAAGTGGTTAAAGTCACCAAGGGAGGAAGAGAGAGAGGGCAATCAGTTCAAGATAGGAGCTGAGTTGGGTCTTGAGAGTCTAGACACTAAGGAGGGAAACACCAAGTGTGAGAGAGTGTTCACAAGTGCATCAAAGTGTTGAGCAAGGGGTGAGAGAGAAAAGAGAGCTTGGGAGAGAATAGAGTTCTAAGGGGGTTTCTGTGTAAACCAAAGTTGTAACTTATTCTTTCATTAGTGAATTTCTCAAGGGGATCACCAAGAGGATGTAGGCAATTGCTGAACCTCTAAAATACTTGTGTCACTTTGTGCTTGGTTGGTTTCTCAAGTGTGTGTGTGTGATTCATCCATCATTGTGTGTGTCACAAAGTCCATCAACAACAAGATCATTAGGGGAGTGAGTGAAAGTGTTAGTCCATTTTCACATCAAGTGGTATCAGAGCTGTGTTTGAGCAGCAAGTGCTAGTGTGTTGAAGATGGCAAGTGACAAGGAAGCTGAAGGTGAAAGTAGCTCTACGCAGAGGCTACCACAATCTGTCAGCATGAAGGTGGAGTTGAAGCCTTTCACAGGGAAGGAGAACTTCACACTATGGCAAAGGAGGATGAAGTCAGCCCTTACACAACAAAATCTCAGTGTTGTCTTGGGAGGGAAAGAGAAGAAGCCAGCAACCATGACAGACGCGGAGTGGGATGTTCTAGATGAGTTGGCTAGAGGAGCCATCGAGAACTACATCACCGATGAGGTGCTCATCAATGTGATGTAAGACACAGCAAAGCAAACATGGGAGAAGCTCGAAGAGA